TCAGTTTACATACAGCACACAGTGAAAATTACATGAATATGACAGTGGGCATAAAGTTTGTCGATCGCGCGTCTCCAGTCAAGCAGAACTCTCCTCCTGTCCGCATTCAATTCACACGGACTGACCGTCACACAGAGAACAGGCGATCATGCAGGATACACATGCATACTTCACACGATCTCACAACAGGATTCGACTAAGTTTGCAAGGTTTGTGAAATTAAATGTTCATTATTCATTCAAAGATTTGTTTAAATGATATAAATGTGTATTTGCTGAATGCTGACGGCAAACGAGAACGTATTATAATGTTTGCCTTTCTATTACTAATTATATAATACTTTGTATTTTAATTCCTTTGTCTAACCCTTCTATTGGATTAATAGACAGACTTCTATCCGTATTAGACAGAACTGTTAACGACGACAACGAACAAGAGGGAGAATGTGAGCACTGTGTGTTCAGGCGCTGCCCTTCTTCTCAGCGCCGTCAAAATAAAAGTCCCATCTCGAAACGCATCGGCCAAACAGAAAAACTTCATAAAAATATATGAAAAATGTCAAATATCGGACGATATCTCAGCCTTGGCGAGACATCGGTAGACCACTAAATATTGTATATCATTTTCGCGCATCGGTGAGCCGCTATTAATATGCAGTGTATTGAAATTGCTTTTGAATGAGCGCTCGCTGTTCACTTTCACTTTTGTTTTCTTGATCACACGTACTCTGTGTAAACGGAGCACATTTTATAAGATCAGATATTTGTCAGTGAGCTCAGGATCTGTTGAGCGAAATCCTCCACCGTGGTCTTGTCAGTCATCTCTCCTTACTCTCTTATACCTGTGATCGGTCGAATCCTGCAGCTTGTGTTGCCTAGTATAGTTTATGTTTACGTCTGAACGAAATAATTTTTATTATGACTGGACATAAACTAATACAAAAGGATGGTAACATAACAACATGGTAACATAATCGATTGAAATCAAACATTTGGGTTGAATTTGCATGTATTTGTCACGTTGTTTTAACCGTTTGAAGTACTGCTAATGTTAGTGTCCTCTCTGTCTGCCAACATAGCCTACTGCTGTTCTTTTTCTACTAATGCAGCACCTAATCAACAAATAATTTTATAATGATATGAAAACGTACTGTAATATACTGTATACAAACCGTTTTGTTGTCTGTATTTTAAATACGCAACTGAATTCTCCTGCTTCGTGCTGCGCGCAACCTCACCTTTCAAAACAAACAGCGTGAGGCGTCAGTGATTCCGCCTCTAGAGGCCGCTCTCGTGCTGTATAATGACATATAATAAAAACTATTGTTTGTTCCAGCTATCGGTGCCGATTAATATGGCAAACCGATAATCGGTATAAGTCATCGCAATTTCAGGAGTGAGGTTAATTCTGTACATACACAAAACTCCCATATTTAAATGCAGCTGTCACTCCTGAAACTTTACAGTATGTACATGGCCATTTTGTCATGCAGGACTTTTCCAATAATTTAGTACGCTTAAACCCACCACTGCAAGCTCATGTTTATCTGCCTCCACATCTCAACATCCAATCAACAGTCTCTGCCTTACATTTTTTGATAACCCATAAAAAGTTCACTAGTCTTAAATATTTTAACTGGTATAACAGTCTTAATTATCATTTTAAGAAGTCTTACATTCTGCGATGGAAAAACAAGAATTGCAATATGCCCTTATGATTATTACACTTCAGAAGGCTATGATGTAATGAAACAAATGGTTGCATGACACGTTTAAAGTAAAATCACTGCGCGGTTACACGTTCTACAAGCTTGTTGTTTCAGAGAGCTTTGCAGTCAGTGAATACAGAGCCATTATGCCAAGTGATTGCTATGATCTACTATTGATGAATTATCAAAATGTTAATTAAGGATGGCTGTAAAATTGCATCTTTTTTGAATGAGCATCTGGGAGTGATAAAGCACAGACCTTTGAAAGTCCAAATGCATTTCGGGCTTGTTTATGATTAAGTCCCACATTATACATGAAATCTATTTTGGTTGCACAAAAAAATTTGCTTTTAATTCAAAGTAAACTTATGTTTTTTTTCTTTAAACACATTGTTATTGTATCAACATATCTTGCATTATTTAAACTTGCAGTTGAGTATGTGCTGCAACCTGTTTATTTATATTTATTATTTATATTCCATTTAGACAATCTCATCTCTTTTCTTCTCACTTTATTTATCTTTTTAATTTGTTAATTTGTTATTTTTTTTGTGGTGCTGTTTGTTCAGTTCAAATTGGATATTTCTAATAAAAGCAGTGCGATTTAGGTCTGGCCAGCCAGAGACTCGGGGGCAAATGGTGACTCGGACAAATGTCAAGAGGTTAGAGTTCATTACCATGTTGTGGGCGAAGGGTCAAAGAGGAAGTGACCGGTGGATCTTGGACTTACTGCTGTTTGAGGAAGACTGTTTCCACAAACTCTCTCAAGACTCACACACTTCTATACTGGCCAGAGTACATGAGACCAGTCACTGCAAAACACTCATTCCTGTCTAGACAAGGTTGTTTTTTGATTGTGTTATTGGCTGACTCTTGATTTCATAATATAATATGTTTCCAGAACGGTGCTCTCTCTATGAATCTGTGAATCAAAGCGTTCACAGACCAAAGTGATGAAAGACGGCACTCATGATTTCTGACATTTCAATTATAGATCTGAATGAAACCTAGATATGCGATTGCAGTTTGGAATCACAAAGATGCATAATGTTAATGTCCTTTATGCATTTTATGTCATAGTTTGAAAAGTATAAATGTAGCACACGTTGGAATTTACACTCTTCAAGCCTTCAGCAAGTTAGTTGGCCTTTAACTTACCGAGGAACTGCAATATTACATGGTTTAAATCTGACATTTGTGGAAGTTGCTTGTTTAATTCGAATACATAGATCATCTACTAAAAAACCTCCTTGGTTTTATGTGCCTTATAACTATTTACTTCTGTGCAGAATTTATCATCAGGGGACCAGATTCACAAAAATCCTCTAAAGATAAATTCTAAGATGTTGCCAAGTGCACTTCCTGAAAAAATACTGTATTATTTTCTTTAGAACATCTTGTGTTAAGATGAAAATGACAGGTTTGGTGTTGTCTGATTGTATGGCGGTTTTGGCCAAAGACCTGCTGATCAACTCGATAAACACCCTTACCATCATTTTGCACCGTCGACAGGTTACCTAATCAAAAATGGCACACAAACGTTTTTTTGTCACAAATGGCTTGAAGGGAGTCCAACATCAATTTGCGTGTTGCACTTTTTTAACGTGCCGTGCAAGTAGTTATCAGCTTGTTTAAGATGGAGTTGTGTTGTCAAAAGTACCAACTGCGATACCATTCGGTACTGAAATTTTAAAAACGGCCATTTCCCGCTAACATTTGAGCGCTGTTGAGCAGATTCTTACACAGCGCTGATTGGTCATTTACATTTCATCAGTTACAACCCATCGCTGCCTTTAGGAATATGAGACAAATTGAAGTTTATGCTTCAATTTTTACAGTTTTACAAGAAGTTATTTACAATGGTTTTTAAGAAAATTATTTTCAGGAATTCAGATTTTTCTGAAGTTTCGTCTTAAGAAGCAAGTTATAAATATTCTTAAATGTTTTAGTGAATACAAAACATTATTGACCTCTGTTGTTAGAAAAAAAAAAGCAGTTAAGAATAATTTTAATAAATGATTTGATTTTGTAAATCCAGTCCCAGATGCTTATCTAGCATGAAGATAAGAACACCAGAACACCATTTGGCAACACATATTGTGCAGTGTCCCTCACATTAAAGGGTTAGTTCACCCAAAAATGAAAATTAGCACATGAATTACTCACCCTCAAGTCATCCTAGGTGTATATGACTTTCTTCTTTCAGATGAATCCAGTCAGAGTTATTTTAAAAATTGTCTTTGATCTTCCAAGCTGTTTAATGGCAGTCAGCGGGTGTTGCAGTTCATCAAGTCCAAAAGAAGTGAAATAAAGTGCATTCATCCACAATAAAAAGTGCCTCACACAGCTCTGGGGGGTGAAAAAAGACATCTTACGTCATCCGCCCGGAACTGCTTCCATGTACAACTGTTGGCGCAAGCTAGATTAAAGTGATTATTACGTTTTGAATATGGATATTTTTCTTACAAAAATGCATCAATTCGCTACAGGAGGCTTTTGTTCACCACCCGGAGCCGTGTGAGACACTTTTTATTGTGGATGGATGCGCTTTATTTCACTTCTTTTGGACTGATGAACTGCAACACCTGCTGACTGCCATTAAACAGCTTGGAAGATCAAAGACAATTTTTAATATAACTCCAATTGGATTAATCTGAAAGGAGGAAGTCATATACACCTAGGATGACTTGAGGGTGAGTAAATAATGGGCTAATTTTCATTTTTGGGTGAACTATCCCTTTAAGCTACTGACGCAAAAATATAAGACCCAAAATTATAATCAAAATTCTAATCTTCACAGTTTTTATGACAGGTGCTGTTTCGCTGAAAGACTGAGACTGTAGGAGTGACACAGTGACCCGCGCTGCCACAAATATGCAAGAAAAAGCAGCTAGATAATTCCATTGTCATGAGGGACAAAAAAAAACATTTTTAATAAAAATGCAAAATGCAGTTTCAGGCCTGGGAAGAAATATTTATGCCTGGTAAATAAACTCAGCTCATCCGCTATCGGGAGCTGAAGTAAACAGTTAATTTTGGACTCTGGCTATTCTTGAATCAGATGATCCCAGGCGACTTTGAATACTAAACTGCTGTGCATTATGGATATTTTGGATTTATTTGGATATTTGTTTCTCGCTGAATTTAGATTGCCTTCTCCAAGACATTTACTATGCTAATGAAAAGTCATTTGTTTTTTCTCACTGATATATACTCACAAGGCTGTTTCATAGAGACACCTCCGTCCCCTTAACGTCCAAATGCAGCTAAGCCTGTATTGTCTTCTTAACAGGGTGCCGTCACTGGGAGATCGAGCGTCTGCTTAACACATGATGTTCAAGGACTACAGATCTGCTCGAGCTGTAGGTGAGTTGATATGCATTCCTCTGATGGAAGTTCTGTCTGCTTGATGTACCATCAGAGACCCTTTAAGCTTCTCATTCACAGGCAGAGTGTAGATCTCACGGCAGAGAAAGGATTTGTTGGCAAGATCTCTGCTGCACACCTGATAAGGCTGTCAGTGTCCCCACGAGAGGCTGCTTCTCAATAATAAGAGGTTTCTTCTCCAGTTCTTTGGCATTTATTCTGTCACGAACAGGTGGAAACGTCTGCCGGATCGCCTTTGTCGCTTTTCACTTCTTGTTTGCTCTTTCTAAATGACAGGAAGTTTAGATTTCAGACCTTTTATCAAGTTTGGAGAGATGAAGCTGAAAGGTGAGGCCGACACTGCTTCAGATGTGCGTTTGCGAGCCAAGTGGAAAGTATAGGGTTTAGTCTGATATTAGAGCGCATAAATAGCCCAAATGTTTATGCCAGTGGAGAACTGGTGCTTTTTGGAGGATAAATCACGAAAGCAGGGTTTCTGTATGAAATGCCAGATGGACATTGTGTTCAATCTTTTGTGTAAACCCTATCTGAACTCTCTTTTTGAGCTTTATCTGTGAGATAAAAGCTTTGTGCTTGTTAAAGTGACTCATTTAGTTGTATTTTTAATGCTAAATGCTTTCAAAAGCATCTTAACTCGGTTTTGACATCTGACGTTCGACGTGACGGACAGCATGAGAGAGTGAGTGTTAGAAATCAAATCCTGACAGGAGGATTGAGCCGGGCGACTGTGAGGGAACCAAAGGCTTTAATTTCTCGAAGGCGTGTGGAAGATGAGCTGTGTGTGGGCCGTGCCGGTCAGCTGGCTCGTGTCCGGCCTGTCACACAGGTGGCCGTTTGAACCGCACGGTCCTGCTGCAGCTGTATGGGGGCAGATTGCCTCATTTCCACTGGAGCTTTTCTTCCACGATTACCTTATCTAGCCCAGCGCACAGCAACAGAGTTGACTGATGACTTACTCTTTTCCACAATCAAGGACAGCCGATCCGGGAGTGCTTTTTAGTGCTTTCTCATAAGGTAATGCCAACATTACTGAATGCCGGTCACAAAAAGAGAACTGACAGCACAGGCCGATGCATATTAAGGTCAATGTGAAATCAGAATTGTAGTTAGTGCACATATTGTGAACCTTCCAGTTCTTGATGTTGCACATAAAACGTTGTGGTAGTAGTATTTAATTAGAATGTTCAACAACAACAACAAAAACTAAATTCTTTAAAATCAATTCTGAAAACATCTTTCCTTTTTCTACTGATGTGGGCTGATGGATATTATTAACCAACAGCTAAGTATTTATTTGTGCAATCTGGCTCTATTCTGGCATTACCAAAAATTGCCTCATTTTGGCTGATTATTTGATCTGGGCCATGTATTTATCTATAATTACGCTACTATTCAGAAGTTTGTGATCAGTATTTTTTTAAAGAAATATTGTCAGCATTGATGCATTAAGTTAATCAGATGTCACAGTGAAGACATTTTATAAGGTTTCAAAAGATTTCTTTTTTACTTTCTATTTGTCAAAGAATACTTAAAAAAAAATAAAAAAAGAATGGTTTCCACAAAAATATGAAGCATCACAACTGTTCTTGACATCAATGATGATAAAAACAAATATTTTCGTTTAGGATCATGTAACATGACTGGAGTAATGATGCTGAAAATTCAGCTTTGGTTACAGGAATAAATGGCTTTTTATTACATATACTCACATAGAAAACATTATTTTAAATTGCAATAATATTTCACAATATTGCTGTGTTTTTGAGCAAATAAATGCAGCCTTGGTAAGCATAAGAGACCTCTCTTAAAACCATTAGAAAATCTTACTGACCCCAAACTTTTGAACAGCAGGTAACTTCTACAGGTGGCAACAGATCATACGTAAAATTATTTTTGACAGTCTTTCAAACAAAATATAGGTTTGGTAAGCTTGTCAAAGAGTGCACATGGTTCAGACACTTGGTCTTGTGATTTGTGCACATATGCTTTGACTAGTTGAGTGCTTGTGCTCATGCAGGTGGCACCAATTTTAAGCTGATTTGTGACATTTATTTTCTCCATCATTTCTCATTCTCTCTCTATTCTCTTATATTCATTTTGGGAGTAAAAATATATTTTAACAGCATTGGTAGTGATTTTTCAAGTAAAAGAGGACACTTTTACAACACAATTGTACAACAATTTGTTTTCAGGGAAATCCAAGTAAGTGAAATTGGATTCCGGTCGGTGTAATTCACACTGCTCCACCTCAGTGCCAGTACAGATGGTTCTGGCAACTTAGAAAGAACTTTCAGTGAGATTGACTATAAGCCGAATGCACACAGCAGCACAGCTTTCCTCTCTCACAAATCTCTGTTGCCCTTTATTATAAATGGGCGTTTTGCTATTGCCTTAAACTTAAATAATGGAGATGCCAGAGGCTGGAGAGTTCAACTTTTACACCTAGTTTTTTGGTTTTGCGTGAAGAGTTGCAGGACTCGTGTTGGCCGTGAGGTGAAGGGCTCTGCATGTGAAATGTCTGCGCCAATCAGTCCTTAATGAATTTGGAGGTCTCATCGAACTGTCTTTGTAAAATAACACAAGCACGGTTTTGCATTATTCTGTTGCATGATTGAAAGCCTGCAATTAATTTAGTGCTGCTTTGCCTTTATATTAAAAGTATAGTTCATCCTAAAATGAACATTTGCTATTAATTTACTCATACTTAGGTCATCCAAGATGTAGGTGATTTTTTTTTTCTTCAGCTGAACAGTAAAGAAGAGTTTTAGCCAAAACCATGGGCCTTGATGATTCATAAAATGCAAGTCAACGGCTGCCCGTTTTGAGATTAAAAAAGCATATCAATTAAGGAAGACAAAATTAATACCCGTGGCTCCTAACCATATATTGAGGTCTTATGAAGTGCAATGATTGGTCTGCGCAAGAAACTTATTTACAACATTATTACCTGTAATCCAGAGCCTTTTGGACAGTTCCTTTCAATGAACTGGTTCTGTACTGCTTGAGCCGCAAACTGTGAACTCAACTAGTTCACTAAAAGGACCTGTTCAGAAGAATGACTTGTTCGTGAACCGAACATCACTCCAGACCGTTTGCCTGAGGCTCTGGATCACAGGTAATAATGCTGTAAGTAATGTTCAGGTTCTTGCACAGACTGATCATTTCTCTTCATAAGATCTCAATATATCGTCAGGAGCCACGCGTATTAATTTTGTGTTCCTTGATACCGAACATCACTCCAGACCGTTTGCCTGAGGCTCTGGATCACAGGTAATAATGCTGTAAGTAATGTTCAGGTTCTTGCACAGACTGATCATTTCTCTTCATAAGACCTCAATATATCGTCAGGAGCCATGCGTATTAATTTTGTGTTCCTTGATATGCTTTTTTTGTCATCAAAGGCAGGCAGCTGCTCACTTACTTTTTACGAAGCACCAAAGACCACAGTTTCAGCTAAAAACTGTTCTACTGTTCTTCTTTATTGTTCTACTGATGGGGGGAAAAGTCTCTCTTAAAGCCTCATCGCACAAAACAAAATCTTATTCAGTCCTTTAATTTGCCTCTTGGAATGTGAGCTAAATCTTCCTGGTTTTAAAATGGCAAAAACACCAAATGGCACAAACCTGCAGCTCTGCCTGCCAAAATTCAACCTTTAAAGCTGTTAAAATGTTTGAACTGACTCTCACCACCAGACCTTTTACATCTCCAGTGAAACATTCATCGTGGAAACCAGCATTGTGAACCAAAACACAGTGTCCTAAAGTCCTTGAGTGACAAGGTGAGATTTCCTACTGCTGTACAGGTCTGGCTTCAGAGAGAACTTCACTTCAGCGTCTTACCTTAGCCATATTTATTTGTTTATTAGGTCTAATGAAGTTATAATATTGACATTATCTCATCTTACCCAGCACTGCTCAGCCCTTGCCCCCTTGGAAAGACTTTGCCAATTATAACATCTCTTGGAAGAAATGGAAACGGCTTTAAAGAACCTGATAAATTCAGCTGCCAGTTTTATTTATTTATTTATTTTTTGCTTTTCTTTTTTTTTTTTACATTTATGACTTTGACAGACACTTTTATCCAACTTAGATTGCATCAGTTCATGCATTCCCTGGGAATCGAACCCATGACCTTGATGTTTGTAGTGCCACACTCCACTGTTGGAGCTACATGAATGCCTGATTGCCTATATTTTATGATTTCTATGCAGTGAATTGCTCTGAACATAGTTGAAATTCTCTCTTTGTCTGATTTTCAAGGCCTTCAGGATTTATATTTAGGTGCATAACTCTTCCGATATGAGTTGGACCAAATGATGGGCAGAATTCCAGTTTAGCTTTTGGGATTTTAATTGCTTTCATGACCCAGTGATTGAGGCTTTAGCTTTTTTTTTTCTTTTCTTTTTTTTATTACAGCAGACCCAGTGAAAGGAAGACATCCTATAATGTAAAGAAATGGATGGCTTTCTTTTAATTTTTTTGGATATTGTTAACCAATAGCCAAGTAGCTATTTATGCAATCTGGCATATAAAGTCCATTTTACACCTTCTAACCAATGGATGGATAAATCCTGATGGATAGATGTCTTGTCGACACTTTTTCGTATTAAAAATCCCGAGAAATGGGTTGCGAAGGCAATTCATGCCGACTTGACTGGCTGATATTATGATGATATAAAACCAATTAATCCATGTATACAAAATATTTATTTTGATGCACTTTATCAAGAATATTTGAAAGGACAAAATTTATGTTAAAGCTAAGTTTAGACCAATATAATCATTAGGTTTTAGCCAGGTTTCAGTCAAGCAGAGTACATTATCTGTGATTATTTCATTTACAATAACTGCTTTACAATAACTGCTTTTTTACCAAAAATTGCCTTGTTTGACTTGTCACATATTCTTAAAAATCCCGAGAAATGGGTTGCGAAGGCAATTCATGCCGACTTGACTGGCTGATATTATGATGATATAAAACCAATTAATCCATGTATACAAAATATTTATTTTGATGCACTTTATCAAGAATATTTGAAAGGACAAAATTTATGTTAAAGCTAACAGTTCTCTAAATCTTCCGGGGGGTTTTTTTTACCAAAAATTGCCTTGTTTGACTTGTCACATATTCACATATTTATCTATAATTACACTACCATTCAAAAGTGTT